AGGATTGAAAGTAAAAGTGGAAACCTCTTTTCTAAGCGGAAAGCCCCTTGTGCAGATTTTAAGGGGCTGACTGCTATTGAGTATAGTTAACCATATACCCTCTCTTCTCTTAGGCCTATTAGCTATTTTACCTTGTGAACAGCGGTTTACTGTATATATACTCTATAAGATTGTTAATGAAGAGCAGCTATGTTGGCTATAACCTTGTTACGCCCGGACGAACGGTCGGGGGTGCCTAAACCAATGTGAAGCTTAGCATTAGTATTGCCAGAGATGGGTACAACTATTTGGCTGGTGCTGGAGGTACTAAGGCGGTATTGGCGGTGAAAGATGGTGGTGAATATAGCGGTGTGGTTGTTTAGGAAATGACTGTATATAAAGGCGTCAGACTGCTCTATTTCTAAAGATTTGTATTAAATTTCTTAGGACAAGATTATATCTGCTATTTATCCCCTAGATGGATATCGGAAGTATCTGCTCAGTATATAGCTGGTTATCAACTTATTAAGAGGAGTGCCGCTATAATAGTTATATAAAAATCTTCTACGGTGTCAGTAATCAAGGAGTGTAGTCTCTGGGTTCAAACCTTATTCTTAAAGAGCGGTCTATTAAGCTACCTAATTTTGAATCTGCTAACTTGTGATTTTTGACCGAAAGAACTTTAATACCTATACCTAAGACTGTTGAGGAGTGGAAAGAGGATAACGGGATATATTTCCTGCTTACCAAATGGATTTGTGGTCATTCTTTGAATAAAGCTTGGCTGATAATATGCGGGACAGACAAAGAACACATTGTAAAACAGACTGCTGAATATGTTATTTAGCTTTGTAATCTTTATTTAAGTCAAATGGAAAGCCTAGACGGACAGCCACTATACTCTGCTTTTCTATTCCCCAATGGTTATGGTATTGGGCATAGGCCGTTGTTATCTGATGATGAGCTGTGGGCTGAGATGTCGTTGGTATTGACCAATGTACTAGAGCAAGTTTGCTTAAAGCTATGACAGCGTATGCCAACTACTACTCTCTATACCTTTTCTTACTGTGACCTTACCAATGTCAATATTATCGTGGATAATAGTAATTTAGCAGGTATTCTGGATTAGGAATCTTCGGGCTATTTTCCTGTTTGGTGGGAGTTTACTGCCGTAGGTATTAGTCTTGGTCAAAAGGACAAAGAATAGAAAGACCTTCTACACAAGTACCTTCCGGATTATACCGAGGCTCACAATTTCTGGCTAGATTTCTGGATATTGTGCAAATATCTGAAATTAGACGAGAGAGGATTGAGGTTTTTGAATAGTTATGGATTTAGCTTGCTAAATCAGGTCTGAGAATAGAAATAAAGCTATTGTTCTAATGATCTTCTACAGTAAAAGCAACGAGTGACACTATTTCCGATGACTTATGTTATTTGTCTATTCTTCTTCTGTTGTAGTAGTGCTGATTTGCTTCTTTGAAAGCCGTCATCTTTAGTCGCTAATGTTGTTGGAATCAAACTTGAAACTAATCGAGACGTACCTTAATGAGGATATAAGGGCGGGATATAGATGCAGAAAGCTCAGCACGACAAAATTTATAATTTTCTCTCCTAGTTATATTATTTTTACCGTACTGAGGGTACTTTATTTTAAACGAGTTTTAGCTTGTGTTGGTTCCTAATAGAGTTAGGATATTGTAAAAATATATCTACAGAAGTTTGTTGGAGATAGCACAGAATTAGGAGCTTCTGGTAAACTCCTGTAACCTTATATCTTTATATAGTTTTTAACGTACTCTTCTCTTTATCTAACTTCTCTCTATTTTAGAGAATCTGTGTGAGTCTGTGTGGAGCGGGGTAAAAGAGAGTATTGGGGCGGTGATAAAAACCCCTCTTGAGCCTCTGATAGCTTTTATTGATTTAGTTTGTGCGGCTGAGAAAACGCTTTGATATATGACTGTGCTGCTGAGCCTCTAAGTCGCTCTAGGAATAGAAAAGGCTCTGGGGCATTGGAAGTGACCACTATGTATTAGTGCCCTAGCGGGGGACGGCTAATGCCCTTTTCGAGCTACCCTATAGAATAAGCATAATTATTGGTAAAGTCTAAGGCTGAGCAAAATCTAAGCTATTTACAGGTGACGAGGTGGTTTGCAGAAAACCCCCCTAGGAGGTAGAAAGGATTTATAGGTGTATTGGCACAACGCTTAAGAAACGGCGGGCCCCTTTAGTGAATCTTACGTAAAAATTCTATGATGGCTACTATGTTATGCTCCCCGTTTCTCTTAATTTAACTTAAACCATATTTTTAGCCTGAGAGCCTCTGAATTTGGATCCTGCTGATGTGGCTGTAGTATGCGGTTTTGTAATGACAGATATGTATGTGAGCACGAACTGGCTGGCGGAAAGGGGCTGGCGGCTATGTACTGACTGCTATTGGCTATAGAAGAACGGACCAGCTAGCCATTTATGAATCTCTTAAGCCTATAGTTTTCAACAAACCTTAAAATAGTCTGAAGAATACCAGCATATTATATATGAAGCACGTCTGTGAGTCTAGTCGAAGTGAAACGAGCGATAACTTGTGCGGCTTCCCTACTAGAATACCCCTATCTTTTTGATAATACTGGTTGTATTGGCAGTACTTTAAATAATACTTATCTACCGAAAGAAGACCTGTATTTTGATGAAGCTCTAAGCGCTTGTAAGCTAGTTGTATTATATTGTGTGACTTTAACTCGCATAATAGGCTGAAATGTGTATTTTTTTGATTGGCCCGAGATGAGGGGTAACTGCAGGAGCAATGCGATCCTTTAAAGGATTGTATATGTGAGAGATTTTTCTATACTTAAACCCAAAAAATCCTATTTTCTATTATAATTTTCTATTTTCTTGCGGCCGTATTATATTATCAGCAGATGAGTTTTTCTAGTTACTATCTAAACAAAAAACTGCTTTGGAAACTCTATAACCTTTGTTGGACGTAAGACAGCGCCGTATATTCAAATCTTGCTATACTCTACTCTAGGAAAATAGTGGAAGTATAACATTACTGCAGATATCTAGCAGATGCGAGAACGTACGCCAGCATCTGAGAAATGCTTACTCCTTGGGAGTATGTGTACTTCTTTTGTTTGTATTATCCGTATTAATCATATAGCTTGCCACTATAAAGTATGGTGACTTATTTCCCTGCTTCCAGACTTGGTTAAATAACTAAACCTTGTCCTAAGACGTTGAGGACCTAGCAGTTAGGTTGGTCTCTGAATTTAAGAATGAACCTTAGTATAAGAATTAAAATAGCAAAAGTAAATAGCCTATTCGTTTTGGTATATATCGACTCTATTAATATACGAAATAGAGATAAAGAAAGCTGGGAAAGATATATATAGGAAAGCTAGCCGGCGACAGAAGAGACAGAAGATACTATAAGCTTTAAGGCCGCAGTTATAGTTACCTGAACCAACAGAGAACTAGTTAAATAAAATTCTAGAAAATACTGGTTTGTATATTATAGCCGACTTACGAGAGAAAATTCTAACTTTATAAGGCTTGTCGGGATATAATTTGCCAACTCTAATAGATCAAGAGATAATTTTGCTGCCTGTAATATAGTTCCTCGAATTTTTTCACCAGTTTTAAAATAGCCATCTATATTTTCGAGCACTCTGTAAGCTTTTAAAAACCTACAACTCCTCTGGCCTATAACTGACCTATTTGTGGCTGAACTTGTCCCCTTCTTATATCTATACTAATCTTAACCTTCTACTAGGTATAAATGTTAAAGTTGAGCTATCGTTAGAACTTAGTTATTTATTCGTGGAATTTCTATCGATAAGTAGGTTTTCAGTCCTTGTAAACGTGGAAACAGTGAACGGAGGGTTGTCTATAGAATAGGTAAGTCTGTGTTTTACCTAAAATAATAATTCTGAAACTGTTTCCTGTACTCAGGCCTGTAGGAAGTATTTTGACTTTATTTACTTTGTTGCGGGTATGGACTACTCTGGCTGGGCTATTTTTATGGATGAGGACTGTATAGGCTGTTTTCGAATTGAGATATTGCTTAGACACGTTAAATCTTTCTTTATCTAGGGTGACTTCTTTTCTGCCCTAATTAATTAGCTGCAGTATGTAGGCATAATATCAAACAAACTTATAAGTAAGTCTTTTACTTCCTTCTTAAACCCCTCGTTATCGAGCGATGTTGCTTTCTGAAAAGGTGTTTATTTGCTTGTGGCCATTCGTTTGCCTTAAGTTTAGAGCGTGTATCTAATAGGAGCAAGAGAAAAAAAAAACCAGTAGTGACTATAGTCAAGCCTTCTGAGTCCCAGAGTTATAGTTATATAAGGCCATAAGATCAGCGGTGATTTTTGTAAGAAAGTGCTTAGGATAAATGTTACGTTGGGTATTTAGAGAGAGGGAGGGGCTTTACGGCCTTATGATATAAGAGCTTATCATATAATATAACCCCTCGGTCCCCTTCTACTTTCTGAAAACCATTATTAGGTAATCGGCTAATTCTTAATTCTAGTTTATCTCTCCTAATAACCGTATACTTTATATAATTATCTGACTTCTAATGATCTGCTGTATCCTGATAGCACTTTTTAGTCGGTTATATATCTTAGAGAGAGAGAGGTATATAATCACAAACCAGTAGTACTTTTGCCCTCCTATTTTCTCCTATTTTCTCCTATTTCCCCTAATTTATATACTGACTTTCTCCTTTTTCCCCTAAATTATCCTATACTGAAGTATATTTCTTGCTTAATTATTGTATTATTTCCTATTATCTCCTATTTATTCCTATTTCCTTCCTTTTATACTTATCTATGGCTATAAGCTCCTTATATAAGAGGAAAGAGACTAATAGCTCCCTATTGATATGAGACTTCGTCTTTCTTATATGAGGTCTGAATTATCGGTATAAAAGGTGCTTCTTCCTATAATGAAATAGTTTTGTTTACTCTCCAAATCTGTCCTGTCTTGAATAATCTTATTAAGCTATTTTATACCTCAGACTAGCTTCTCAATATGGCACTCAAGGCTTCAAAGGCGTCTTTCTCTCCCTGTTCCTAAGGTTTGACACCGCCTGATAGTCCAATGACAGGCTTAGCTATGCGTTAAGCGTGTGTGGAGGATCTGAAGCATCTCTTCAGTATGTTTCTTGAAACGATGCTTGATTTTACCAACTAAGAGCCCCTAAATATTCCTGTCTCCTAGGACCAATGCCATCCAGGGCTTAACAAGGTTCGACAGGCACTAGACTATGTTTTAGCTGAACTTTTACTGGTAAATAAGCCTGCTCGGTCTTCCATAAGCGATGAACAAACGAATGTTCCTGGGCTAGATAGGTTTGATATTGAGCAGCCTATCTGTATAACGCCTGAGGACTTCTAATTATTTGAGAAGTGGGCGTCTGTACCCTAATTCAAGACAGTCAAGGAAACGTATATTACTAGCTAAGCTCTGTGGCCTATTTAACTCCCTAGCTTTAGTCTCCTCTCACTTCCAAAAAGTTTTCTGACGTGGAAATAGCTAGGATAAAGAAGCATACAAATACAAGATTGCTGAACCGACCGAGAGCAGCGGCTGTCTGGATGACTATGCTGAATATGCATTTGTTGTCTGTGAGTGTGTAGGTATATAGTGTCGTTACTGAATAATTGAATCTATACTAACGATATTATTAGACCGAAATTCTGAGGAGGTGACGCTATATATAGATATCAAATTGAAAGGCCTGTATGATATCTTGTATATGGTCCTGTACGGCGTTAAGGCTATCAGCCTGGTAGAGGATAAGCTATCGGTAAGTGTGATAGATTTTTTATAGAAGAGGTCGCTGAAATAAGTTTAGATTGAGCAAAAGTTCCTATTCTATTTCCTATCAGAGTTGGACAAATATGCTGAAAATTCGAACAACTCTGACTATGAATTTCTATGTCAGTACCTCCGCTTGCTTATAGACTATCTTAAGCAAGTATATTCAGCCATCTTGCAACGTCTTGAGTTAATATTGCAGTACGGTTATATTACTTACGATCTTCTCTGGGCGCTTTTCAAACCGGGTTCCTATGTTTTTATAACTTGCTTTGGTACAAAAGAACCATGGTGTGTTATATTTAACGCCGGGGAAGAGATCATACAGAACGATGAGACCTGGTTCAACCTTAAATGCTGATTTATTGATTATAATGGAGTTAAATTCGGTGAGGCTGGTATCTTTCTATATGTGGCAAAGTTCTGAGGGTTGAAGCCGATTGAGAGCCTTGAAGCCTTCCCTCTCTGTTACCATCCAAGTTATAAGCAAGTCCGGAAAGACCTGGTCGGAAGAGGCCAAAAGTTTCGGGATTTAGCCGGCTTGTATATTCGGTACTGTAAAGGCAACGTATTCTTTATAAGCAAGGGGAAGATTTTTAAAGTCAAGATTAACAGTTAAGTAGCGGTGGACGCTGTGTTTTTCTATGATATATAGCCGAACTACTCCCGACCATCTCTCTGCGATATAGGGGTAAAAGAAAAGGATGGGATTACAGTTATTGATATAGGCGCTATATTTATGGAGGACTGTGAGCGAGAGAAGGAGAGAATGCGAGGAGATGGTCTGGATGGTTAAAAGCTGAATAACGCTGATTTATTAGTTGCCAGCCCAACAGTTTGCTGTTTTAGTTTTAAGGAGAAAATGTTCTGTATATGATATAACTGAGAACTTTCAGCTTCGGGCTAATAAGATTATAGTGGAATGTGTAGTCAGTGCTCTTAGGGATATTGACTGGTTATCTGAATTATTTGATTATCTTCAGATTCTATCGGATACTAAGACAATGCTCTTGTTGCTGGCGAAAATGCGTCTAGGTCTTATACCAACCGTACCTTTTGACGATGTGATCGATGGTAAAGGCTAAGGGCTTAATGTGCTGCTGAAGTATGTCGGCGAATTACAGAAGCTCTGTAAAACCCTCAACTGACTTATGCTAGTGGTCCGCCAGGCGTCGGAAAGACTTTTACTGTCAAGGTAATGTTGGAGTATTTTAAGTGCCCTCTCTACTCGGTATTAAAGATCTGTTCTGTGTAATGAATGACCTAGCTGACCTTCTCAGATATCTGCAGGTAAGCTTGTTGTCGACTATGGGGACTCCTACACACTTAAATCATAACTTGAAATTATCTTTAAAATTGTAAAGTATTTTAATGCTATTCTTCTTCTGGACGAAGCAGATACGTTTATGGCGAGTCGGACCGAACTCTACGATAGTTATAATCGCCTGGTCACTGTATTCCTCCGAAAGCTTGAGTATTATCAGGGAGTGCTTTTCTTAACCTTAAACAGGGGTATATACTTTGATGAAGCAATACTGAGCCGAACTTATCTGGTAATTGAGTATGAGGGTTTAATAAGAGACTTCTGCAGGGATCTCTGGTCTACCTTCTTAGCCAAAGCCCGGATAATGCAAGGGCCTGCGGTAGTTAAGGAGGACGACATCCAGTATTTGGAGATATTGGCTCTCAATGGACGAGAGGTAAGTTTCAACTTTTTACGCAGATAGGTAACTTGCTGACTGCCGGTTAATTAGATCAAGAATATCGCAGCAATTGCATATGCTCTTGCTGAGGTAGATACTGTGTAGGTCAGCTATAAGTATCTGGAGTTAGCAGCGGAATTGAATAAGAAGTTTGCTAATGAATTTGGTAGGAAGGGCCCTATTGACGGAATGTATGTCTAACGGCATAGACTGGCAACCTTGGGCGAACTATTCTGCTGTTTATCAGCGGCCTTGAACCTATATAGTGATAATTTCGGTTAGTATATAAGTCTTAGGTATTTGAATTGAATTATAGTCTATGATACTCTGAAAACGATCTTAAAAAAGGTATACCATTCCGAAACTTCTTAAGTTCGAGAGTCCAGCTTGTATAATAACTCGGGTGGTGTTGAAGCATATAAGTAAGGAGTATAATTTGTGTAGGAATGTATAGGCGACAATAGAAACTTGGGTATTAAAAAAAAGATCGCTAATGTAACGGATAGAAATAGAATTCCTTATCACGAAATCCTGAGACGTTTTGTATTTCCTGCTTCTACTTGACATAGTTGTTGTTTTATCTGTCCTAGTCGCTGCTTAGCCGGTTGGTATTTTAAAGTAGAACGGTAAAAGTCGATGATCAAAGCACGCCTGAGCTCTTTATACTAAAGGATATTGTCCTGTCTGAGGTCTTTATGGATTATACCTAGGGCTTTAACTTCTTTGTTTGACCTGTAAATCTCTTGACGGAGGTATAGAGTCAGCTCTATCGTTGCTGTGCTCTCACCGCCCTAGCCTATGACGAGTATATGGCGGATTTATCCAGCGCCATGAAGAAAGTAAATTTTTACCAAGTTAATTATTCCCAAAAAGACTAGCACGGCAGATCCTTAAGCCTTGTGCAGGATCTGATATACCTGTGCTTTACAGGAAACTTCTTCCTATAGTCCTGAAGTGGTGCCTTTGCCGATAACTGTATAACTATATTTTATGTAAGTCAACTTGAACGGGGTACCGTAGGATCCGCAGCCACCAAGAGGAATGTATTGATCGATGTTTTCGTCTAATTGTCTTTTGAGCAAAAGGATTAGGTCTTTAGCCGAGACAGGATGCTGAGACGGGGCGTTTTGGCCCCGATGATGATGGTCTAGATTTGGACACAACTTATCCAGGAATTTCCCGGTCTGTAGGCCGAGTAAATATCGCTGTGTACAGAATAGCGCAGTGCGGCGTCGGGAATGATCATTGCGGTTATTCCCTGGCTTTTGCTGGCAACCTGATCGCCGAGCAGACGGTGAAGGCGTGACTTGACTGATCCTCTGCTTATGGCCAGCCGTTTGGTTTGTGTCGGAACCAGACGAGTTAGGTGAACGTGACTGTGCTTGGATCTCCGAAGGTATATATCTGGTTTGAGATTATATAGGCACTTGACAGCCCTCTGAGGGTGACAGTAGCGGGGATAACGAAGGCAGTTTATAGGATAAACTAGTATCTGGACTCGGAAACTTGGGATTTATGCTGTCAGAGTGAGGAATCTGCTGTAACTCTTTCTTCGGGATCTGCGAATGTGTGTGGTCAAAGCTGGTCTTCTAAATAGGTATATTTGGGTGCGTAAGATTTCTCTATTCTTGTCTACAGACAGGCGAATAGAATGCTATTAAACAGAGACATAGTACTCTTGTAATAGAAGTTTTTGATAGATTTGAAATAAAATCGTCTTCTAGGTTCACTTCGCTGTTTGGATCACAGAAAAAGTAGTAAAGCGTGCTCGGATTATCACGCGGAACACGAAGTAGAACCTGGGTGATCCTATTTGTAACCCAGGAATATTCGAGGCCTTCTTAGATCATCACATGATATTCCTGGACAAGAGCGGAGCTGACAAGCCGCTCTGTATTGTATCTCAACTTTGTTTCCTGGTCTGTGGGAATTTTATTGGACCTGACTAAATCTTTCCATAAGTCCATCGGTCGAAGGCCCATGCGAAGCGTTGTAACTGAAAGCTTATGCGGCGGCTTATACTCAACAGATGTGAGGAGCGTATTAGTATTGCCGTCGACGCGGTGGATACAGAACTAATCAGGTTGTGGGTGCTGTATGCTTGAGGTTTGACTTTTACTTGCTTCGGTCGCTTGATTCTTGTTTAAGGTATTTGTATGATTGCTGAACTGTATTCTATCACTGAGGCCGAACTCGTTTTGAGCCTCCGGTATCTTGCATAACTCGGTAATTATGTTATGGACATGCTCTTCAACGGCAAACCGCTTGTAGGCCTCGAGCTCCTGCTTACTACTCAGTGGTTTACGAACGAGACGTCGGACTAATTCGTCTAGCGCTAGTAAAGATGAGAACAGATATGGTGCTTGCCTTCTTTCCGGTTGGAAGTAGCTGTAGACGGATCTCCATATTTCTGAGAGTTGCTTTGGGCAGTCGGTCCAATAATCTAGCCGAGTGGGACAGTACTTTCCCGTGGGCGAAGGTATTTGTCCAGTTGTTAAGCGAGATGGTGTCTCGACTCTTAACGATCGGGATAGATAATGATAACGCCGAATATATTCCGTAAAAGTGGTGAGCTGAGTTTGTTGTTCGGCCTGTCTCTGTCAGTCTTCGGCCTGTCTTTGTTGCTCTTCGGCCTGCCTTTGTTGCTCTTCGGCCTGCCTTTGTTGTCTTTCGGCCTTTTCGCGCCGTTGTTCTGCCTGTAGATAGAGCGACTTGTAATCCGGTGAGCTTTTATCCGCTATCAGCCTAGAATAAGGAACGGAGAGGGAAAATAGCTCGAGACAATCACTAATGATTGATTCTTAGTAAAGGAGGCTTATTGTGATAATCAGGCCCCGACCGGTGCGGTGGCCTAAGAGGTGTTGTGTTAGCTGGTCCTGGCTTTTGGCAGAAGTATTTATCCGATATGTCACTGCAGGTCTGGTTAACCTAAAGATCAAAACATACAGATACCAATACCCCAGTGATGATTTCACAGGATTACCTCCGACATAAGGCCCAGCACTACCAGCGAGCGACCGTCCGTATGCTTAGAAATAACAACTAATCTTTGTAGATTAGGCTAGATTACTGAGCGCTTGGCCCTAACTTATTATGTTGTGGGGGGAGGGGGAGGGGGGGGACACTGACCGTACGAAGCAACAAGCCAGCCATGCATCTCTAGAAACCGAGAAAGAGATCTAATTACTTTAAATAATAAACGAGTCGCCTAAAGGAGAGTCTTCACGTTGCGTTTCAGAACTGCAAGCCCGAAATCGCGAAACCAGAACCGCCAACCCAGAACCGCCAACCTAGAACCGCTCACAACGTAAACTCGGTCAGGCCAGGCTTCAACCGCCACCAGTGCTTTTTCGGTAGTATACAGAAGTAAGTGCCTCTGCTAGTTAGATACCTTTGAGAGTGTGTTTGCTCACGAGGTGGCATGAACTAGCGAGGTCAATAAAGAGTAGTATAGTTCAGCGACCAAACACCCAAGCTAACTACTATATATACTCGATGTTTGATAGCCCGGGCAGATTGCCCCTGGAGATACATCGTGGCTCCTAGATCATGGCTCCTAGGGGCTAGTGATAGCATTCCGAGGAGCAATGTACAGCACTCCTAGGGCCCATTTAGTCCCTAGGAACTATTGTGAGTGGCCCTGGGAACGAAGGTTAACGGTCCCAGGAACTTCATTGCTCCTAGGAGAGCATATGCTGCCGTACGGTGCTCAGTGGGTCCACAGCGCTCCTTGCAGAAATAGGTTACGTAATTGCTGAGGACGAAGTTCTCACCCGGGCCGTGATTTTCACCATATTCCCGTACACAACTTAGCCAGAAGAACAACTCCAGGTCTGGCCGTTATGAGGATATGGAGATATGTTGTGAAGACCGCAAATAAACCAAGACATGCCCTTTCGTATCTCCTCATAACCTGCGACACCAACATTCGGTACACCGGCGGAGCCCAGTATTTGACACAACTTCATAACAAACTTGCCACCTGGTTTGTTCTTGTCGGATTTTTAATCTTGGCCGCGTCGCATCATGTGATCACACGGGAAAACACTTAACCCGACCCCGGGTTCGCTGATAGTTCAAGCTCCTAGGGCCGTTAGCCGTCGTTCCTAGGGCCCCTTGCATTAGTTCCTAGGGACTAAATGGGCCCTAGGAGTGCTGTACATTGTTCCTCGGAATGCTATCATTAGCCCCTAGGAACCACGGTCTAGGAGCCACGATATATCTCCTCGGGCACTTGTATTCCCGGGAGACATAAAAACTGCATACAGTGCGTCCCGAAACTGGTGCAACCGCCTACACTCTTTGAGTGATTATTTAGCCCCACTGCCAAGAAACACTATACCAGATTAGGAGTCAGACCGGAATATCAATATTCCTGCACTATTTTGTTACGGTGATTTTCTTTCATCAAAATACGGTACCTCGTTTCGTAATTGTATTGTCGGACCAAGGGAACTAGACTCTTCCATGGAAATGCAAGCAAGTCAAACACACGAGGGCATAGTTGGTGAATATTCATCTTCGTTGAATCAAAACCCGCCCGATCAGCAGAGTTTTGATCCTGCGGTTTTACGCGCAGATGGAAATTCATAAGATGGTGGTCTGCGGTCCATATCCGCCTATTTTCAAAGTCTTATGCTCATTTGGAGGCTCTCCGAATTCTCCGGTGCTTCTAAGTGCTGGTTGGCCAATCCAAAATCAATCTCTAATGTCTGCTCGGGATAAAGGTTTCTCACAAACTCATCACTTAGTAGAGTAGTGTTCCCAAATGAGTCCAGAATGAACACATCTTTCACGATCCTGAATTCCACGGCTAATTTGTCACAAATTTTTCTTTTGAGCTTGCTTGCCGTTAATTCTCGGAGGTATATCGCAAAACATATGTCATCGTCCTCGAAATATTCCCCTTGCTTGTAAAACCGGATGTACAAACAGAGTGCTAAGCATTCCGTTTCGTTTCGTTAGATAATTTCTGCAGACAAGGGAAATTCAAGCGCATACGCGATCCTCGTGGCGATTCAGATGGTAGAACAAACTGCCCCTTCTCGGCCTTTGGAGTTAAATCTGGATCGGACAGCTCTGATAGCATTTGATGTTCTTCCATGATTATATCTTTAACCTCAGCCTTGGATGTCGACTCATCTATATTTGATTAATCGATATAGACTTTGCTGGATGATTGTCCTGTTTCATCTTCAGGG